CCATTTGTCTGCTTAAAAACATTAAGTAGCTTCTCACTGTTGACAGAATATACTCTAAAATGTTTAGCTTTACATTCGAATCTTTTTATAATTTAGTGTCAAGTTCAAATTCAGGATTTCCTGTTATTTTCAGTGATGCAGCTTGAAGTCTAGAGTTACAAATTGGCAGCTTACAGGCTGAGTTTGGCCCCCAGACTTGTTCTGTTTTATTGATTCAGCATTTAAAAACTAGATAATGTCACATAGAAATCCAGATTTCTAGTTGTTCTTCACCACTCAAGAGTTCTGATAAACCGGCCTCAGAGCCCTCAGTGTAACATTCCGTTAGCACTCAGTGGCTGCTGCCTCTTCCCTATGGAGCAGTGCTCTCCACCTATGCACAGCCTGTGCCCCGTGGGTCCTGTATGCATATGCACTCAAACCCAGTCCTCTTCAATCATGCATGTTACCTGCTGTGGCCACTGTAGCCATTTGAGTTTGCAACCCTGGGCCTAGATATAGTGAGCTGCCTTCTGGTCACCTGATCCACCTGTTCTCACATTACCTCTTGCTGCTCCATCTGCCTAGAAGATCCTCTTTGTCCTTCAGAATTTTTCATCCTTTAAGACTCAATTTAAATATAACCTTTGTGAAGCCTTCTCTGCCAAAGGCAGTCACTTCTTCCTCTCTACCCTTGTGGCACTTTGTTCATTTGATTAGAGTAGCACCTGTCATGTTGTACTTTAGTGACCAGATGGTGAGCTCCTTGACGTTAAGGTTTGTATCTTACTCATCTTTCTGTTCCTAGTCCCCAGCATGTTGCTCAACAAAGAGTGAAGGCCAAGTAAATGTTGCTGAATTGTACGCCGTTAACATCTAAAAACTGGGAAGGTAGGAAAGGATTCATTAGGTGCAAAGAAAAGTTCATATTTTTCCCACTTAAATGTATATTCTTTCCCTTTCAGTATTTCACTTAGTTTCCTCTTTTTCTCCCCTTAGTTTATAACCAACTCATTTGTGTTTCCCAGACAACTGACACTTTAATTTTCATTAAGGATTACCAACACTTACTAGCTGTGTTCAGGGTTACAAGCTAATAAATGGTGGAAATGAGGTTCAAAGTCACATTTCTCTGCCTTTAGAGCTCATGCACATAGCTGCTGAGCCACTCCTTATCATGTGCATGCTTTTGAATAAGTTACAAAGTTTTCTAAGTCTCAGTTTCTAATTGTAAAAGAGGAATGATAGGGCTTCCCTGGTGGCGCAGTGGTTGTGAGTCCGCTTGCCGATGCAGGGGACACGGGTTCGTGCCCTGGTCTGGGAAGATCCCGCGTGCTGTGGAGCGGTTAGGCCTGTGAGCCATAGCCGCTGAGCCTGCGCGTCTGGAGCCTGTGCTCCGCAACGGGAGAGGCCACAACAGTGAGAGGCCCGCGTACCGCAAAAAAAAAAAAAAAAAAAAGAGGAATGATAATGGTTCCCATCTTTTAGGATACGTGGGAGAAATGAATGAGAATATCTATGTAATGCTTAGAACAGAGTTTGTCTTAGAGTAAGCACCCAATAAATAGAGCTGCTCTATTATTATTATTACTGCTGCTGCTACTACTTCTACTACTACTGTTACTTAATGTTGTATAGGAGATACACAGACTGTCTTGTCTTCCTTTTCTTGGTTTAGACTTTCAGGAGTCAAGGGAATTGAGTATTGGCCCACCTGCAGAAACCATTGCCAGGCTACCCTATTTGTAACCCTAGAACATTGCACTTGGAAGGGCTTTTGGAGGTCAGGTGTTCTAACAAGTGCTTATCCAAAGCAGCAGTCCTCTCTGCAGTTCCCAGCTAGAGATGATCAGTCATCTAGAGACTGTTACATTTACAGTGACAGAAGCTGGCCACTTTAGGTGGAAAATATGATTGTTTAAAAACTATGCACACACACTTTTCTTTTTCTTTTTCTTTTTGTCCTCTGTAAAATGTAGAAAATTAAGTTGAATCCTTTTTCCATACTGTTGTCCTTAGTCCTTCAAAGTATTTGAGCCGAATTAAACAGCGACACTGGTGGTTCTCAGAGTGTAGCCCTTTTAACTTGAGCCCCTTTCCTCAGGAGACTTTCTTCTCTCTTCCCCTTTCTTTTATTCAAAGAATCCTCGAAGACCCTAAAAGCATAGGCTAAAATTTTTGTGTGCCTGTGTGCATTTTTCTGGTGCAAGTTTTGATAACCCGAAAAAAGTTTAAGAATCACTGTCTTAGACACTCTCATGACTATAGTTTATCCTGCATATGTTTGCATCTCAAAGGGACAAACAATGGTTAAGGACCACAGTTTTTTAGTTTTCTCATAATGGTAGAGAGTGATTGAAAACAAAGGTTAGGAATTGCATAGAAAGAGGAAAATCTGAGAGTTAAAGCAAAGAGGTATAGTTCAGCTGTATTGATTGAGCCACCTCCCTGACATCTTTGGGAAGTCTTCCATGTAGTCTGCTTAGGGAATCATTTCTGATATAATAAGGATGTTAAGCAGAAGGGAGGATTCAGTAAATCAGTCTTTTCTTAAAAACATTTATGCTACAGAACAAGGAATAACTATTTTACCCTGTAGTGGACAATCACTTTAGCTAAACATAGGTACTGTTGTGACTATTATATATTCAAATACACACATATGTACACACACAAATACAGTGCTTAACATAGTTCAGTATCGCCTTCAAGGTCAACCCCTTCCACTCCCCCAGGCCCCACTTTTTTCCTGCTTTGCCAAGTCTAATGCTCTGCTATTGAGAATCTAACAGATAATATATCCTCAAAATGGTCCTCCTTACCTTTGTCAGGCCACAGAATGCTACGGTGTGGAAAAGCACTACTGGAAGAACAGAGCAACTGAGATATAGATGGAGAAGCTTGTAAATGTTGCTTTCCTGAGTTATCTCTAGATCATTGTCGGCCCAAATAAATTTCCTATGCAAGTTTTGATAAAATGCATGCATTCATGCATACATTTTTTTTACATAGCTCTTTGTCATCAGTAGTCAATTGTGTAATCCAAGTTATGCCCATAAAATATATCTTTTTCATAATTTTACAAAATATCTAAAAGAAAAAGTAAAGTGAGGTATTATGGCTAAAAATATATTTTAAGATTCAGTAGAGGACATAGTACTGATAATTAGAGGTGCTAAAATTTGGACAAAAGTGTAAACTATACTTTTGGGTGTTTTTGTTTTTGTTTTTTGCGGTATGCGGGCCTCTCACTGTTGTGGCCTCTCCCACTGCGGAGCACAGGCTCCGGACGCGCAGGCTCAGCGGCCATGGCTCACGGGCCCAGCCGCTCTGCAGCATGTGGGATCTTCCCGGACCGGGGCACGAACCCGTGTCCCCTGCAACGGCAGGCGGACTGTCAACCACTGCGCCACCTGGGAAGCCCTAAACTATATTTTAAAACAATTTGTATATTTTAAAACTTAATGAAACCATTGAAGTCATCTGTTTTGCATTTCTTTTTTGTTCTTGTTGTTGTTTGGGTTTTTTTGTTTTGCATTTCTAAAGCCTATGTTGTTAGGTTATTGTAAGAATGGCAATATAAGTCTGCAGAAAGTATAGTTACAAAAATCTGAGACGTTTAGTATATACAGTCCAACAGTATAGCTTGTAACTATCAAGGAAGATATACTGGACCTCTTGCTTTTTCTTGTATCTATTGCTTTCCCAAATCTAAGGTAGGTATAGGTCTTTACAAAGGGTAAAGGAACTCCTTAGAGCTGTGTTGGTTACTTAAGTTGGTAATAGAAAGGAGGACATTTTGAGGGAAAGTGGAGAATTAAGAGAGGAATGAAAGGACACATGTTGATACTCTTGGTGTTTTGTTTTGTTTTCTTTTTTTTACCATAGCAAATGTAAGGTGCCCTGTCTGTCAGTGAACTACCTACTTCAGTACAACTTAAAGTCTATAAGTTCTATGGATTTAATAAGGAGAACTAAGTATTGCTTGATTTTTTTCCCTCTCCAGACTCCCACTTGTGGATTGGCATAAAGTGAAAATTCCTCCAGTAATGCCCAAGCCTTCTCATTTAGGGTTTGGTACTGCATCATGCCTAAGTGAATGTCGAATAAATGTTGTCTGACGATGATGAGAATAATTTGTTTCAGGAGGAATTCTCTTTATGCTTATGTACTACATTTCTCACAACGGTCTCAAGAGTCATTGGAAAACAGAATTCTTGTTTGAACTCTTACTGTCTAATTTTTGCCAATTACACTATCATAAGTTTTATATGAATTTTAAAAACTGGATTCATTTGGCAAAGTGCAAAATCCTCTAAACATAGGAATGCAATAGAACTGATTTTAACTGGTATATTTAAGAAGAATAACATGCACTGAATTTGAATGGTAAACTCAAGGACTTTCCAAAGATGTGTGCTGGGTTTAGGTGTTTTATGAATAGGGCTCATTCACTATATATTTACTTACTGTAGCTTTTACTAAGTAGCAGGAGAGTTGTTATTGCAGAGTTAGAGTGTTAGCATAGCATCTTGAAAATGTCTCTGTGTGGGATATGTTATGTGAATGTGCGTTGTCAAGTAGTTTCATTTTGGACTTTTGAAAGCATTAACTTCTAAATATTTTCTTAGTTTATTTTAAAAAATAAACAACTTGAAGACAAAATATCACTAATTCCTTGGTGGTAGGGAAAGGGTGGGGGGAATGGTGTATTCTGCCCCAGGATATGCTTTGGGGAAATTACTTGGAATTCAAGGAATCGCAAGTGGAGCAACTTTAAAACACTTTGCTATAATGTGTTCTAAAAGGTAATTAAGTCTTGACATGTAAAGACATGTTAATGTAGTATTCTGAAAAAAGTTATGGAAGTTTTTTTCTTTCACAGTAGGGTCTCCTAATACATAATTTGCACTAGTTGAATATTTGAAAAAACTGTCTGGAACAAGTATTGATACAGTTACCAAAAATTGAATTATCATCTCACTTTCACATCATTAACGTTATATATCCTTTTCTTTCAGCTGGATATGTCAAGTGACCAGATAGCTGCCAATCTGCAAGCAATTATCAGTGAAGTTTGTAGGCAAAGACCGCTGAATTTGGGTAAGTGGTTCCCTGGGGAAGATTTCCTTGTAGCTCTGTGATACTTTAAAAATGTAAAATATTAAGAAAACAATCCAGTTAATATGCAACTGCAATAGCAATAATATTTCCAGGGATTAAAGAAATACAACTTAATTCTCCAAAGGATTCCTAATGACCTTATTAAGAAGTTGTAGTTGTTTGGAGAGGAGACCTCTTTAATAAGGAATACATTGTGAAACCTTTATAAATTCCCACATTATTTCTACCATTAAATGTAATAAAGTTTGAAAGAAAACTGTAACGGATTGCCTTAAACTTACAATAGTGTTTAAGCAGAAACTAAAGTCATTTATGAGATAGATGATATTTTGAAGCCAGACCATTCACTTTGTCACTGGTACTAGCAGTTGGCTTTCTTAATCTTATTTATTTTAGAAAAGAAACACGGTTTTTAATCATGTCAAAAGAATCACTATTTATAAATGGGGTGATACGTGGAGAACAGTGAAACTTGATGTGGAAGCTGTGTCATAGGCTAGGAACACGTGTAGTACCCACTGCATTACCTGCCATTCACAGTGCTTCCTCAGGCAAACGTGTTCTCTTTCCGCTGGTTGAAAGCAAGCAAGAGTCTGTAACCCTCATTTGACTATGCACTTACAGGCTTACCATTATAGGAATCTGTCATGTTTCATTTTATAAACCAAGTGTATAATTAAAACACAATCTCACGTTATGTTTAACCTTCTTTGGGAGTTAAACACACTGATGAATAAATACCTCATTTGTTAATTCTGTTGTGCTAGATATGACCATAGTACTTAGTGATTGTATGTGTATAGATTCTTCTCTTTCATGGAGAACTTTGTTTTGAGTATAGGAGCCTCTGAACCTATATCAGGAGTAGAATGATGAACAGTAAATCTCTAAAAGCAATGTAGTTATCTTCTCTTTGCCATTTTAACTGAGGGTCCCTTAACATTGTTCTTATGAAAGGCTTTTTAATTTTTAAGGGATTTTACTAAATGTTTGGTAACACAGAGTTAGCATCTGTGCTGACTGTCTTAAATAAATATTTAGAATCTTGCCATCAAATGTAAATATCATCACCTGTTCCCTTTACTGTTGACTTTGCAATAAAATAAATTCTAGGTGATCCCCTTCTGAAAGAGAGAAATGAATTATTAGTGAATATGTGTAGTTTCATCTATAAATCTCTAATATACTATGGTACAGCTAGTTTGTCTTCTACTCTAGAAATGAAGCGATCTTCCCTTTGTTATAATTCAAAATAATAGTTCAGTAATATCAGTACTTTTCAAGTGAAAATATAACACGAGTCCTATAAAGTTTCTTGTTGTATGTTTGTGTTTGCTCATTAGGTATCTATGGAATAAAATGAAAATTGATTCTTGTCTTTGTTTTCAGGACCCTTTGTGGTACGTGCTTTCCTTCGAAGTTCAACAAGTGAAGGTTTGTTACTAAAGATCGAGTCATTATTACCTAAAGAAGTAGAACCCAAAGAAAGTGACAAAAAAGCTGCCTAAATGTGTTACATTGAGAAATTATTTTCAGTGGATCAAGAAACAACAGAGAAAATTAAAAACTGTTTAATTTCTAAGTTTGGTGTCTTGTTATTTCTTGATCATCATACTTGAAAGTAAATTTTAACACTGGAAAATCTTATAATACTTTCAAAACTAAGAAAATAAAATTTGCTCTGTGTCTGAACCTAACTTTTAGATCATGTTAAATTTTCTTCCTTAGTATTCAGATTCCACAATCTGATAACTATAGCAGCAATTTCTAGCTTAGTAACTTTCCCTTGAGAGTCATACCATCTGAGGGAAAAGTAACATCCTCAGTTCCCATAAGACAGAGAACGGCAGAGTCATGAGCTACATCACAAATATGACTATTTTCTAAAGAAAAAATATGGAAAATCTTCATTCTAATAATTCCTTAATGTCTTTTGTGATAGCATGAATATAGAAAATGATTAAGCCCTTAAAACAAGTGGGTGGAAAACTTTTTTTTCTCTTAGGAATCAATTTATAGTATTTGTATTTTTTTGTAATAAGAATATTGTATATTTTATTTATTTTTTAAAATATTATATATTTTAATGGTGCTTTGTAATATACAAGGCACTGTGTATGGTGTTTTTATATACTTTATTTGATCCTGAATTCCTCTGCTTAATAGCAAGTTGTTAGTGTTTGTTGAATGAATATTCCATGAGGTAGATAAAACAACTTAATTTATGGTTGAAGGATCAGGCTGCCAGTTTGCATACTGCTGTTGGTCCTTAAGTATTTACTGGTATGTGACAAAACAAAAAAAATAAGGATAATTTTGTCATGCAGTTGTCAACTGTCCTTTCTTGGGAACGATTTCTTTTACTCTGAGACTGTCTTCCACTTTTTTTAGGGGATGTTCAAGGGGTTTTTCTTATATGAAAAAATAGTCCTGATAAATTTGTTGGTGGGTTTTAATAACACTCACTTTGTGAAGAATATTTTGACGGCTCCATATAGGTCTCCCCAGTTGTTTTTGAAATTTTAGTGGTGTGACAAGTCCAAAAGACTGTGAACAACCATTGTACTCCACTAAGCCTTTTTTCCCACAGGAAAATTAAAATTTAAGGGCTGTTTACCAAAAGCAACTGTAGCATTAACTACAAAACAGTAACAGCAGTTACCTTTTATTGAGTGCCTACTACTATCTTATGCTTTTTATGCATTCTCTCATTTCATCCTCGCAGGAGTTTAGTAAGAAGGGCGGTACTCTCACTTTACAGTTAAGGAAATTGAAACTTGTGTGAGGTCCTCTAAGTGGCACACTAAGATTCAAACCTACATTTGTCTGATTTTGAAGCCTGTTCTCTTAACCATTAGGCTATTTTACCTCCTTTTTATGTGTTCTAAGATAAATTAAACTATTTAACCAATTTAAAAATTTTAAAATATTGAATAATTACACTTCAGTTTCTCGGTATGTCTAGTTATGGGGTTATGGCACAGTGATGTGAGGAAAGTTGAAATAAAAGGGTTGGAGGAGTGGGATGAGAAAAAAGCAGTGCAGGATGGAGAGAAAAAAGATATCTACTTGTGTCCCACATTTATGGTCTTCTGAAAGCATACTGATTGTTATTTAAAGACCCTAGATCACAGAGTAGAAACTCTATTACTGTATTTGTGGGTTTTCTGATTAATAGAGTAAGTATACTCTTATTATAGAGAACTTTAGAAACACTAATAAATATAAAAAAATAAATCACTCAGAGTCCTACTACTCAGATAACCAGTATTAATATTTTGGTGCTTCCCATTATCTTTTTCAATTGACAGAGAAAGAGAGACAGAGAAACAGAGGGAACATGTACACACATGATGTTATATAAAGTAAGCATTTCCCCATATTATTTAAAATCTTATATGAAAAGCATTTTAATGATTGAGCAATATTTCGTCCTATTGATGCTCTAATTTATGGAGTCAGTTCTTAGTTTTGGGGCATTTAACTTGCTTTCAGGTCCCCCTTAACCTTATCATTTACAATACTTTGGAGAAAATCTTTGAGCATAATTTAGTTTCCTCTATATTTCTAGAACTGACCTTCCTGAGTTAAAAGGTATGATATGGCTAAAGGTCTTAATTATGTCTTAGAAAGATGCCTTTCTGAGCAGAACAAACCAGAACAAGGAAATATGGTTGGAAAACTTGCTCTGGGCAAGGGCATTCCAGGGTCTTATTAACTGGCCTATGAATAAATTATTCCGTAACCTTCCATTAGAGCATTTTTCCTATTGGCTAACTGGAACTAATGTTGAGTGTTCATAATGGTATATGCTTCTGGAAAAATAGTAGAATTGCACTAGATTACTGTTCACATAAACCCCTCTCTTTTGTGTTATTAATGTATTTTCTTCTTTCTGAGAAAACAGTAAATTAAAATCTTATATTTAAAAAGAGTAAAAAGTTTTAAATAATTATGGTAAATATCAATACTAGTATTTCTCAAACATTATCCTGCATCCAAATTACCTGGAGGGCTTGCAGGCACAAATTGCTTGGCACCAGTCAGCATCTGGGGTGGGCCTTGAAAATTTACATTTCTAATAAGTTCCTGTTGCCAAACCCAGTTCGTGCACCTGGTGCACAGTGAGGCCAAACAAACCAAAATGTTGGAGTTTGGAGCAGAGAAAGGTTTATTTCAAGGGCCGAACAATGAGAATGGGCTGCTGGTGCTCAAAAAGCCTGAACTCTCCCAAGGTTTTTAGGGAAGAGTTTTTTAGGCAAAATGTGGGGGGAGGACTGAAAGGTGAGTGACCTCCCCCTGATTGGTTGGTGATGAGGTAACGGGATGATGTTCCACAAAACTCAGTCATTAGCCTTCGGGTTCCAACCTGTCTGGGATCCAGAGCTTGTGCTCTGACTGAAGTTACCATCCTCTACCTGGGTGGGATAGTTCCTGGAGAACTATCAGGTTATGTGTAGCCCTTGAGGAGGAACCGGTACCCTGCCCCATCGCTGCATTTTTTCTTGACTGCCTATCCTTTATTTCTACATTCCTTCACTCTTCTGTTTGCATCTGCCCTCTGGAACTCAGGGAACATCTAGGAGGCTAAACCTTTTTCCTACAAACAAGGAAGTGGAGGACAAGGAAAGGGTCCTGCTCAGTTTCATTCGCAGGTGATGATGTTGCTGGTTCAAAGACTATATTTTGAGAACCACTGATACTTACTAATGGATCTTTAAACCCTGGATAAAAAAATCTCTGGCTTTCGTATCAGCATTAGTTTTTTTTCAAATTTGACAGGTAATTCTTGTGCAGCAAGGTTGAGAATCACGGGTGTATGCAATTAACCAAGTTATAAGAGGTGAAAAATTTTTAATAAAAGTCAAGATTTTAAAAGACTGAGATGAAGAAAAAGATAATGCACTGAATTTAAGAGCCAGGACTAGTTTCTAGCTTCCTGGTCTATCCCTATGTGTAAACAATTTAAATTCCTATGGGAAAACAGTTCAAAATCTGGCATCTTCTGTAAAACAAGGACATCATAAGGTGATCATCAATGTACTTTCTAACAAAAATTTTATGACACAGCTTTTGTAGTTGGCATTTCATGTTGTTAGAAATGATGAGATAAAACATTATTAATTAACATTACTAATATAAACACACGTAAACATAAGTTTAATGGTATTACTTATCATCTTGTTAAAGACCAGAGGCTTATGGTGGGATGGGGAGACCTACTCAATAGTGACTTTTTTTAATAGCAAGTAGTAATCGCAGTGTCCAGTAGGTGGCAATAGTAACCTTTCATACAACTTTTAAATAGTTGTGTACTTATTGGTAAATATTTGTTTTCTCATTTGACTATACAAATAAAATAGCAAAAATACTTTATAGACCCCTGGAGCTTTGTTTATTTATTTTTTGTTCTGTTTTGGGCATGTTACAGAGGTTGCTTTAGTTGTCACTCTGCAATAATGCATTTTTAGAATTTAAAGAATTCGTTCCTGTTTTAACTTTTATTATAGAATTTTTTCAGATATACAGAAAAAAAGAACACCCATTTACTTACCACCCAGCTTCAGCAATTATCAACATTATGCTCTTGTTCTAGGTACATCTGTCCCTTCCATCTACCTACCACTCCCTAGCTCGTCCTCATCCTTGCTAGAGTAATTAAAAGCAAATCCCTATAAAGAGTTTTAAGAATAATCAAGCTATAATTACAAGAAAATTTTAGGTCCATTTTTCAGAACCCAATGTTTTTGTGTTCTACTCTGGCCATTGAAGGCATTTAGGTTCTTTGGATTGTATTTTTCATGTAATAATGGGCAAAACACCTATTTCTAGTGCTTTGAGAACTTAAGAGTACATAGTAACAGAACTAGCCACAAAAGGTTGTATATAAGTATCAATACTTTAAAAAATAAGAAGGAAGAAATTGGTATCTTCACTTAAATTTTTGTTTTTGAATCAAAATATGAAATTAGAAATGTAACTATTATAAGGGATAGGTTGAAATAATAGTTTTCATTCTGAAGGTATTCAAAGGAACAAAAAGTTTTTCTGTATTGCTTTATTTAAAAAAATGGACATTAAATAAATTGGGCAGGTAGAGAAAGAAAGAACACAATCAAAAATTTAAAGAAAACAATGACCCATAATGCCTTAAATAACTGCTTAACATTTTGTATACTTCCTTTTTTTCTTCTTCCCATGGGGAGGTCTCCTTTTTCTCCCTGAAATAACATGGTTGTGATCATGTTGGGTATAGGGTAGGAAGGGAGATGTCTTGGCTTTGGCCGTTTCCCACATATCCAGCTCTTTAGTCACTTTTATTTGAAAAAAGCCAACCAAAAGCAATTTTCAAGTTATTTGCTAAATGAAAGGTTTAACACTTCCTATATCTTGTCATATGTTGCATAAAACTTTATAGTATTGTTTCCTAAGTTGGTAATTACTTTAATTCAAATTAATTTATGTAAATTTTAAGTTGAATAACCCAGTGTTTCCCAAAGGGCAATAAGTGTACCAAGGAAGACAAAGAAATGAATTTTGATGGTAAGTGAGCCACATCTTTAAGAGTTTAGTATGTTTTACTATATTATAGGAAAATATAACTTGCACATAAATGACCATGACTTCATGGGCATTGTTGCCTAGGATGATTATTTGTAAAGTCTATTTAAAAATATTGTGTAAATTATGTAAATATATAAACTATATAAACTGCTTTCCAAAGTAGTTATACAATTTTACGTTTCCTCCAGTAGTGCATAAGGGTTCCAGTCTCTCCACATCCTTGCCAACACTTGGAATTGTCTGTCTTTTTTATTATAGCCATTCTAGTGAGTGTGTAGTAGTCATATATGTTTTAATTTGAAAATAAATTATTTTGCTGAGAAAGTGTTTGGGGATAAATGATAGAGTTTTAAATTTGTGCCATTTAGAAGATGGAGTATATTTATACTATGAAGCTCCAGAAGTAGAGGTAGGACTAATGTAGACTTTATAGGGAAGCAAATTCTGGCAAAAAGCTAAGCAAAAGTTAAATACTAATGACTTTCTTGCAAAGTTGTAGTAACCTTTTTATTGAATATGTTTACATCCAGCTGTTTCAGTGTTTCCTCAGTTACAGGCAACAGAAATTAACCAGAGAAAAAATGTAATGTAAGGATATGTAGTGATTCACAGAATCTAAGGAAAAGTGAAACAACTGGTACTTGGAAAGGATAGGAAGCAGTGCAGCTTAAGGGATCTAAGTAGCAGGAAGCAATGGACAGCTTCTTCAGAGAGCTACTGTCAAGGTGAATTTGTTTTCTGACCTTGTGTCATGTCACTCTACTCAAGATTTAAATTTTAAGGAGAAAGAGTCTGTTTGGCCTAGTTTAGTTTACACGCCCACTCCTTGGTCAGGAGAAGGCAGAATTGATAATCTCACCAAAGCTGCATGCAGTAGGGTAGAAGAAATTGCCCAGGGGCAATATTGAAATGCCTTTATCAAAAGAAGGGGCTCACTGGGTGCTGGGCAGGCAAGACCAATAGATGCCCACTATACCACGTCACTATCTCTGATGAATGACTAGGAAGAATTAATAGCAATGATAGGAGGGTCAACAAATCTCTAAGGGTCATTCATTCCTTGAATATTTATTAAATGTCTCTTCCTATGAAATCAATGTATTTCTTTGAGTAAAAACATTTACTTTGTTACTCAAAGTATTTTTACATACATAGCAAATATTCTTTGAATGCAAAAAAAATCTTGCCCATTTATTTTTTGGAGGGGAGAAATGTCAATTTCATTTTATTAAACATAAATAGGAACACATGAACAGATTCCCATGGTAAAAAGTTTAAATCAGATATAGCAAAACTTCTATGATTCTCCCAATCAGCCTCCCTTGTGGCTCCATGTGGATCTTCTATACTTGTACAAATTACGTTCCTACATTTACAGTTAATTGCCTGTTGACATATGTAGGTTTTTCATATTTAAAAATAGATAGTATTAGCAAGTACTTCTTTAAGGCAGATTGCTAAAATAGTATAGTGGTTAAGAGCACAGACCCTAGAGACAAACTATAAGGATTCAAGTTCTAGCTCTCCTATGTAGCTGTATATTGTTGGTATTGCCCAGTAATTTTAAGGAAACTTTTTATTGACTTACAGCACAAATTCATAACTATGAACAGCTTGATGAATTTTCCTAAAGTGAACATGTACCTAGCATATAGGTCAAGAAGTAGATAATACCAGTACCCCAGAAACCCCTTTGTTCCCTCCTTGAAAAGTACTCCTCTTCAAGGTAACCACTATTGTGACTTCTAAGAACATGTATTTGTTATTCCTCTTTTTGAACTTTATGTAAATGGAATAATAATTACCATATGCATTTTTTGGGGGAGGCCCAGGTTCACTCAGTATGTTTATGAAACTCATCCATGTTGTATGTATTTATATTTTATTAATTCTCATTGCTGTTTTAATATTCCATTGTGTGAATATATCACAATTTATCCATTCTACTGTTGATGGACATGTGGATTCTTTACAGTTTGAGGTATTACAAATAATGCTATTCTGAACATTCTTATACAGTTTTTTTAGGGGAGGTTTTAGGGATTTTACAAATAATGCTATTTATTAACATTCTTGTTCACTTCTTTTGGTGAACATATGTATGCATTTCCCTTAGATATATACCTAAGAGCGGAATTGCTGGATCATAAGTTAGGTATATGTTCATTTATAGTAGATAATGCTTCACAGTCTTCCAAAGTAGTTGTACCAATATAACTTCCAACGGTGTGTGAGAGTTCCCACTGATCTATATCCTTGCCGATAATTGGTTTATCTTTTTCATTTTAACCATTTTGCTGAACGTGACGTGGTCCAGTAATTTTTGAAGAATGTAAAAATCCCATTAGTGGGGAAGACAGAATGTAGGGTGTCACTCCCCAGTGATTGAAGTTGGCTCTGAGGTCGGGCAAGGCCCGGGCTGGGCAGACCTGCCCTAGGGGTGAGGGGTTGCTGGCATGTCAGCACTCCTCCCCTTCTTCATTACCCTCTCTCTGTATTGAGGCCCACATGCCCTTTGGAAAAAGGGATCACCTGAGAAGCGCAATACAAGGGCTTGTCCCTTGCATCTGGGCTGGTGATCTGGACAGAGGCTGGGACAGGAGCCACAAGAGTCAGATAGTTTTCCCAGGAGAGGCCCAGTGCCTCCCTCCTTCCAAGGGTCACCACCTTCCGTGCTCCTCCTGCCTTGTGCCCCCTCAGGCCTTCCAGCCCCTTGTACCTTTACTGCTGTTTGGTTAAAAGCCTCTATTTTGTTAAAAAAAAAAAAAATTATCAGGTGATCTAGAGTTTCATGGCATTTATAAAATAACTTTTTCTTTAAAAAATTAAAAGAGATGGAAGAAATCCATTATTCTCTGACTACAACAAGTTCCTATCTTCTGGGGAAAGGATTAATTTGGTTTGGATTATCCTATGTAATAAAGGGCCCTCCATCAGACTCTAGAACCTGGTTTTGAGCATTACCCCTTCTTTATATCTAAATCCCATGTTTGGTAAAATTAGGTGTTTAAGGTTTTAAAATTATTGTTCCTGGTATATTATGCAATTTCAAATATTACTACTCTTACCCTAGACTAGAGACTGCAAATACCTGGCTCACATTCTGTCATCCCTTGTTTCCAACCAGGCAGACTATGACAGATGACTTGACTCACAGAATGTTCTCCCACTGATTTCTATGTGGTCTCAGATTTTTTTTTTCTCAGTACAGTGCTCCACGTAGTCACACTGTTGAATAGAAGTGTGATGGAAGATTAAAACACTCTTTTCATCCTGTACCTCAAGGTACAAGGTGATCAGCTGAGTCTTAAAATTTTCTTAAGTATTGCCATTGTTGGTTGGCCCTATATTATACTGAGAGAAATGTGACTCATTCTTAGAAAGCTGTCGTTTAAATCTATTACTTAGTCATGCTAACTGAGGAGCTGGCTTACTTTTATTTTATTCTTGTTTAAAATTTTTTGTTTTCCTTTCTATTTTAATATTTAATTGATTTTTGTTTCTTTTGGACTAGGAAAAATTCTGAGAAGTTTGCTGCAGCTTCATAGGTCAAAGCAAGTTAGGGGAAATGACTTGAAAGAGGAGGAAAGATGATGCAGATACAGGGTTACACGTGAATACTGACAGTTTGGGGGTTAGGGAGACCTTTAGAGGCCTCTGTGGTTTGGGAGTATATTGGTTATGGTATGATATATATTGATTATAGCTTGCCACTTGAAATTAAAATTAATTTATGGTAGTGAATTACAAAGTAGCATTTTTCAAAGCGACATGTTAGAGAATAAGTTGCTGCTTTAAAAATTTTGACTATGCTAAAATGATAAAGCTGATGATTAAAACCTAAGATGAAAGATAATTAAAACCTGAAAGGGATAAAGAAGGAAGGAAGGATGGATGAAAAATAAAAGAGTTTGGTGATATAGATGAAACCAGGAGATAAGTTTTAGCAGTAGTAGTTTATGCTAATGTCATATTCCCAGCTCCAACCCTTACTAAGTATGTTACTTTGAGCATTCACTTGCCTTGTGAGCCTCAGTCGTTTTGACTATAACACAATCATAAGAAAGGTCACCTTTATTAACTCAAAGTGTTGTGAAAACTACTCAGGTAATGTAAATGAAATTATTTTATAAAATGAAGGTACAATCAACTGCTGTTATCATAAATACTAAGATAATATGTGAGCCTCAACATGTAAATAGCTCAAACTAGGTTAAAAAAAAAAATTCTAGCTTTCCTTTTCTGCGCATAATGGAATAACGTATACCAGACTTGCCCTCTACCTGTGAACAGCTAGAAAACTGGACAAAAATATTTGAAGCTACTGTTTGCTGACCTTGGAAAACATGCAGTACGGGTGTGTGTTCTCTGAATGGATGGAAACAAATAAGTTGTACAAAAGCCTCAGCATTCTGCCTGATGTCACTTTCCAGACCCTGCACAGGAAGAGGGAAACCAAGGAAAGCATGGCGGTCTCTTTATAGAAGTCACTGAGATCAGATTTGAGGGAGGCTGTTTCAGCTTCAGTTTGTGAGGCATGACACCAGAGATGTAGGCGCTATGCAGGGAAGCTCCAGGACTCTGCAGGGGGGTTCACTGAGACTTCTGCTCTGTGCTAAGATGGACCTGCATAGATTGAAATGCCACAAGGCTAGACTAAACGCAATTATTGGGGAGCTTTAAGTTGAACAATTCCCAGAACTTATATGTGGCTGAGAGACATTTGAGTTTTGACCACCAGAGTGGCAAGACATTGTTGCAAATCCTGGGCATTCAGTAGATACCCCAGAATTGTGCCTTCAAATAGGGCTAAAAGAGCTCTAGAGTAGAGGCTACTCTGGACCACCAATAACACTTTAAAAACAACCTCAAAAGGATCAAATTGACTGGCAAGGAAGTTAACTGCCTGCCAAATTCAACACTCTCTAAATGCAGAAAACAAAATCCAAAATTTTAAGAACATAACTTTTATGGTGTCTGGTACCCAATAAAAATTATGACATGCAAAAAGGAAGGAATATGTAAGGAAGAAAATCAGTCAATAGAAACTCAGAAATTATGGAGATGAATGAAAATAGCTGACAAGGGCTTTAAAACAACTATAGTAAATATGTACACGTATATAATGAAAAACATGAGCATAATGAGGAGAGAAATGGAAGACATTAAAGAAGGCAAAGGGAGCTTTAGAGCTGCAATGCAATTTGGAAATGCAGTATCTGAATGGAAAATTCACCAATGGATTAACACCTATAGCCACTGCAGAAGAAGCATGACTTAAAGATACTGCAATAGGAACTATACAAATTGAGGTACAGAATGAAAATAGTAATAAAAGGCCAGATCCTCAGTGATCTGAGGAATATTCAAAGTGATCTAATGTACGTGTAATTGGAGTATCTGAAAAGGGCTGGGGAGAGGAGCCAGAAAATATATATTTGAAGTAATAATGGTTTAATTTTTAACAAACAGGATGAAAACTATGATTTCTAAATCTAAGTAGATGAACTTCAAGCAGGATAATTGAAAGGAAAACCATTCTAAGGCATATCATATTCAATTTGTTGAGAACCAGTGGTAACATAAAACTCAAAAGCAGCCAGAGAGAAAAAGAAACATTAAATACAGGGGTACCAAGATAAGAATTACTGATTTCTTGTCAGAAATAATGCAAGCCAAATAGGGAATGGTATGATAACTTTAACATGCTTTAAAAAAAGTTAAAGTAGGGCTTCCCTGGTGGCGCAGTGGTTGAGAGTCCGCCTGCCGATGCAGGGGACATGGGTTCGTGCCCTGGTCCGGGAAGATCCCACATGCCACGGAGCGGCTAGGCCTGTGAGCCATGACCACTGAGCCTGCGCGTCTGGAGCCTGTGCTCCGCAACAGGAGAGGCCAGAACAGTGAGAGGCCCATGTACCGCCAAAAAAAAAAAAGTTATTGTAGAATTCTATGTCAAGTGAAAATATCCTTCAAAAATGAGAGAAGCATAAAGACTTTTTTGACAAATAAAACACAGAAAATTTATTTCCAGCAGACCTGAATTACAAGAACTGTTAAAGGAAGTCCTTCTAGAGGAAGAAAACTGATACCAGTATAAACCCAGTTCCATACAAATGAATGAAGAATGCCAGAAATGGAAAATTTGTGGGAAACTATGAAAAATGCTTTTCTGATTTTTATCCTTTCTTTTAAAAAAATTACCTTTTAAAAGCAAATGTAATAACAGTGTATGGTGGGGTTTATAACAGTTTGAAGTAAAATGTAGGAAAATAGCACAAAGGTTGGCATGGTATATACTTATACTTGGCTTATTTCAGTTGTGTGCAGCTTTCTGTGTTCATCTAGTATTTTTAGTGGCGAAATCACATGTAAAATCAAAAGTCAATTTAATACTAAAAATTTTTTTTATCGTGTTAAAACAAGTTTGCATTTTTGAAAACATTGTAGTAGAACTGATTGTATAGTTCACCTAGTATGACAAAAGTTTGCACCCATGTTACCATGGTGAAAATCAAGATACAGAAAATTTCCATCACCCCCAAAAGTTTACTTATACACTTTGTACTGATTCTTGCCTTCAACTCCAAGCAACAGTAGATTTGTGTTCTGTCACTATAGTTTTGCTTGCTGTAGAATTTCATATGGACGGATCATACACTGTTATATATATGTTTTAATATTTTAAAATTCATCCACATTGCTGCATGTATCAAATAGATCATTCTTTTCTATTGCTGAAATATATTCCATTGTATAGATATGCCAAATGTATTTATCCATTCATTCACCTGTTGATAGGTATTTGTGTTGTTTCCAGTTTGTGGCTATTATGAATAAAACTTCTCTGAACATTAAAGTACAAGCTTTTTTTGGTGGACATTTGCTTTCTTCTCCCTTGGATTAATAATGGAACTGCTAGGTCATATGGTGACAGCTTTCATAAGAAACAACCAAATAGGTCTCCAAAGTGTTTGTACTATTTTATACCCCCAACAGCAATGTCTGAAAGTTGAAATTGCTTCATATCCTTGGGAAAAGTTGGATTTTTAATGTTTAATTTTAGCTATTCTAGTGGGTGTGTAGTGATATTTCATTGTGATTTTAACTTGCATTTCCCTAGTGACTAATGATGCTAAGCATCTTTTTATGTACTAATTAACTGTTCTTCTATCTCCTTTGGTAATTAGTACAAAGCGTCTATTCAAATCTTCCGATCTTTTGAAAAGTTGGATTGTTTGTCTTCTTATTGAATTGTAAGGTTACTTTATATTATCTGGTTTCAAGCCGTTTATCAAATATATGTATTGCAAATATCTCCTTCCAGTTGAGGACTGACTTCATTTTCTTAGCTGTGTCTTTCAAAGAGTAGAATTTTATAATTTTCATAAAGACTATTTTATTAATATTTATTGTATGGTTAGAGCTTTCTGTGTCCTAATATATCTTTTCCCTCACAAAAGTTGCAAAATTTTTCTTCTGTATTTTCCTCTATTACATGTCTTTTATAAGGTTAATAAATTTTAGCCTTTACTTTTAGATTTATGATTTATTTCAAATGAATTTTTTGCATGATGTCATGAAGGGAGTATATTTGTTCCATACTGATATCCAGCTGCCCCAGCACCATTTGTTGAAAAGACTGTTTCCCTAGACTTTGCACCTTGGTCAAAAATTTATTAACCATATATGTGTAGGTTTATTTTTGAACTCTCTATTTTGTTCCACTGGTCTATTTGTCTATCATCGTACTACTACCACATTGTCCTAATAACTGTAATTTATGGTAAGTCTTGGAAGTCAGAAAATATAAGCACTCCAACTTTGTTCTTTTTTTTAAATATTTGTTCTGGCTGTTTTATATCATTTGTATTTCTACCTACATTTTAGAATCAGGGAATTCCCTGGCAGTCCAGTGGTTAGGATTTGGCACTTTCACTGCAGTGGCCCATGTTCAGTCCCTAGTTGGGGAACTAAGATCCCGCAAGCTGTGCAGCGCGGCCAAGAAAAGAAAAATTTTTTTAGAATCAACTTGTCAATTTCTACCACAAGGTCTTCTGGGATTTTGATTGAGATTTCATTGAATCTACTATATTCTAATTTAGAGAGAACTGGTACCTTAACAATACTGAGTCTTCTAATCCATGACTGGTATATCTCTCAACTTATTTAAATCTCCTTCAATGGCTCTCAGCAAGAAAAAGTTTGAGGAAATTCCTTTCTATGCCTAATTTGATGAGAGTTTTTGGTTGTCGTTGTTGTTCCTGAGTAGGTGTTAAATTTTATCAAGTGCTTTTTCTGAATCTATTTAGAGAACCACGTGGATTTCCTTTTTTAGTTTGTTAACGTGGTGAATTTCGTTGATTATTTTTAAAAGGTTAGACCAACTTTCTGTTACTGGGGTAAATCCCACTTGGTCATGATGCATTATCCTTTTTATATGTTGCTAAGTTAGATTTGATAATATTTTATTAGGAACTTTTCCAACTAGGCTCAGGAGAGAGGTTGGTTTTTAATTTTCTTTTCTTGTGATATAGCTTTACTTTTGGTGTCAGAGTAGTGGTAGACTCATAATAAGATGAGAAATATTCCCTCTATTTTCTGAAACTTTCTCTAAGACAACTATTATATCTTCCTCAAATGTTGGATAAAATTCACCAGTGAATGCATATGGAATTAGGGTATTTTTTGTTGGAAGATTTTAAGTTATTTCATTTATTCAGATGATATAGGGCTATTCAGGTATTTACTTTTTTTTTTTTTTTGACAGTTTTGGTTTTGTAAATTTTGGCTATCAAGGACTTGGTCTGTTTCTTATAAGTTGTCAAATTTATTGCAATAAATATGTTTAAAACATTTCTCTTTGACTCTTTTAATATATATGGAATCTATGGTGATATCCCTCTTTTATTTTTATACTGGTAATTCATGTCTTTATTTTTTTCTTGATTCTTCTAAGCTAGTTTATTATTTTATTGATCTTTTTAAAAAACTCAGCTTGAATTTCACTGGTTTTTCTCTGTTGTTTGTGCATTTTATTTTTAATTGGAATTTTCACATACCATGTAATTCACCCATTTAAAGCATACACTCAGGGTTGTTTGTTTGTTTTGTTTAGTTTAGTATATTCAGAGTTGTACAACCACCACCATAATGAATTTGAGAACAGTTTCATAACCCCAAAAAGGAATCTATCCAGTCACTCTTCATTTTCCCCACATACCCTTCCCTAGTACCAGGCATCAACTAAACTACTTCATATCTCTATAAATTTGCCAACTCTGGACATTTCATATAAATGGAATCATGTAATTTGTGGTCTTTTGTGACTGGCTTCTTTCACTTAGCATGTTTTCAAGGTTCATCTATGTAGCATGTATCAGTGCTTCATTTATTTTTATTGTTGAATAATATTCTCTTGTATGGCTACATCACACTTTGTTTATCCATTCATCAATTGGTGGACATTTGGATTATTTCCATTGCTTGGCTATTGTGAACAATGGTGCTATGTTATTTGGGTACAAGTTCTGTGCAGACATATGTTTTCATTTTGCCTAGTATATATACCTAGCAGTGGAATTCTGGGTCAAATGTTAACTCTGTGTTTAGTCTTTGGAGGACATACCAGGTTGTTTTCCAAAGTGGCTGCATCAAATTATATTCCCATCAGCAGTGTGTGAGGGCTCCAATTTCTCCACATCCTTACCAACACTTGTTATTATCTGTCTTCTTGATTGTAGCCATCCTAGTGGATGTGAATTGGTATCTCATTGAGGTTTTGATTTGCATTTCCCTGATGACTAAAGATGTCCTTTTTCTCCTCAGCTGGAGTTTTGCTAGAGATTTTGTTGAATTTGTAGATCAATATCAGGAGTATTGCTATCTTGATAATATTAAGTTTTTCTATCCATGAACACAGGATGCCTTTCCATTTGTTTAGGTCTTCTTTATTTTCTTCAGTGATATGTTGTAGTTTTAGCATACAAGTCTTTCACTTTTGTTAAATTTATTCATAAGTATTTTCTTCTTTTTGATGTTGTTATAAATGGAATTATTTTCTCAATTTCATTTTTGGATTGTTCATTCGTATTGTATAGACCTTCAATTGACTTTTGTGTATTGTTCTTGTATCCAACAACTTTGTTGAACTCAATTATTACTCTTAATTGTGTGTGTGTGTATTCCTCAGGATTTTCTGTATTCAAGATTATGTCATCTGTGAATAGACATAGTTTTGCTTCTTTTTTTCCAATCTGGATGCCTTTTATTTCATTTTTTCCCCATAATCTGTCTGGCTAGAAAGTCCAGTGCAATACTGAATAGAAATGTCAAGAAAGGACATCCTTGCCTTGTTTCTGATATTAAAAGGAAAGCACTCAATTTTTCATCATTAAGTTTGATTACCTGAGGGATTTTGTAGATGCCCTTTATCATGTTGAGGAAGTTTCCTTCTATTCTTAGTTTGTTGAATATTTTTATCATGAAATGTTAAATTTTTTAAAATGTTTGTTTTGCATCTATTTGGAAGATTCTGTGGGAATTGTCCTTTGTTCTATTGACATGATATATTAATTGATTTTTGGATGTTAAATCAACCTTGCATTTTTGAGATAAACCCTTGGTTATATTGTATGATCCTTTTTGTATATTGCTGGATTAAGTTTGCTAGGATTGTGTTGAGCAATTTTGCTTCTATATTCGTAAGAAATATTGCTGTATAGTTTTCTTTCTTGTGAAATCTTTGTGTGGTTTTGGTATTGGGGTAATACTGTCCTCATAGGATGAGTTGGGAAATGCTCACTCTTCTATTTGTGAAGAGTTGTTTTTTAAAAAAATATTTGAATTAACCAGTGAAGCTATCTGGGTCTCAGCTTTTCTTCTGGGTGATTTTTTATTTTTAATTTAATATCTTCACTTTTTCTAGGTCTATTTGGATTTTCTTTTTCTTCTTCAGTTAGTTTTGGTAGTTTGTGTCCTTCTAGGAAGTTGTCTATCTACGTTACCTAATTTGTTGCCATACATTTGTTCATAGTATTTCCTTACTATCCTTTTCTGTATGGTCAGAAATTATGTCTCCCCCTTCATTCCTGATTTTAGTAATTTGAGTCTTCTCTTTTCTTTGCTTGGAGAATCTAGTTTAAAGTTTGTCAATTTTGTCGACTTTTTCAGAGAACCAATGTTTGGTTTTATTAGTTGTATCTATTGTTTTTCTATTCTCTGTTTGATTTATTACTACTCTAATCTATCATTTCCTTCCTTCTGCTTGCTTTAGATTTAATTTACTCTTCTTCTTCTAGTGTCTTAAGGTGTAAGTTTAGGTTATTGATTTGATATCCTTTTTATTTTTTAGTGTAGCCATTTAAAACTATAAAATTTTGCTTTAGCTGCATTCCATAAGTTTTAGTATGCTGTGTTTTCATTTTCATTCATCTCAAAGTATTTTTCAATTTCCATTGTGATTTCTTCTTTGACCCATTGGTTATTTAGTAGTGTGTTATTTAATTTCTATATATTTGTTAATTTCCCATATTTGTTTGTTATTAATTTATAATTTCACTCAATTGTGGTAGTTGGAGAACATATTTGGTATGATTTCAATCCTTTTAAATTTATTGAGGTTTGTTTTATGGCCCAGCATACGGTCTATCCTAGAGAATGTTCTACGTGCACTTGAGAAGAATGTGTATTCTCCAATTGTTGAATAGAGTGTTTTGTAAATGTCTTTTTTTTTAAAAAAAAGTATCTATTTATTAGGCTGTGCCAGGTCTTTAGTTGTGACATGTGGGATCTTCGTTGCCATGTGCGGGATCTTCCTTGCAGCCTGTGGGATCTTTGGTTGCGGCATGCAGGCTCTTAGATGTGGCATG